CCTGTGTTAGAAAAATTTAGCATTAAGAACTGTGCTATTTAATCTGTGTAACGTATGCTTCAACTTCAAATTTTGAAGAGCAATGTTATTTTTTAGTACAGATAATTACAGAATTGATTTGAGCCTGAACCAGAGCACATGAGCTCAGATCTGGCTACACGAGGTGGCTGTAGAGGGATGAAGCCATGGCACACTTACACCCCAGCCCTACCCCTCATTCTTGGAGTTCAAGCTGCCTTCCCCTCTATTGCTTTGAGAAGAGAATGTACCAACTGCTATATTTTTCAATAAAAACTTTTCACTGGTGGGTTATATGAACTCGAAAATTAAGTTTTTCCTTCCAATGTTCTCTCACACCCTCATTTGTTCCCTCTTCCCATATAAGCATCTGAGGTCCTTGTTCCCTGTTCAAGAAGTACTCTGAGTTCCTTGTTATATGGAAAAGAAGTGCTCCATGTCATTGAAAATGGAATGCCCCCAAGTCTTAATAAAAAATACCTGTAAAACGATGGAGAATAAAACTTTCTCCCATTTTAATTCAAGGTGGGACATGTGTGGTGGTGAAGGTCGGTAGTCAGTTTGGACAAGTGTGGTGAAGGTCGGTAGTTAGCGTGGACATGCGTGGTGAAGGTCAGTAGTCAGCGTGGACTTGTGTGGTGGTGAAGGTCGGTAGTCAATGCAGTTGAATTGATGAAGATGCCAACAGCTGGCAGGCATCATGCCTGGCTTTGTCATGAGTTCTGGAGAAGATTTGAGCCTGGAACTATGTGGGAAGACCCACTGTCAGTGTGTGTGGTACCATTAAGTTAGCTGGAGCCCAAATGAACCAAAGATTCAAAGAAAAGATAAATTCTTGCTTTCTCTTTAGAAGAAGCATCCCCTTCCCTGGGCATCAGAACTCTGGGCTCTTGAGAATCTAGACTCTGGGACCCATCAGCTCTCAGTCCTTTGCCTGATCTAAGAATTGCACCATAAGCTTCACTGGATCTGAGCCTTCATACCTGAATGGAGCTGTGCTACCGGCTTCCCTACTTCTCCAACTTATAGATAGCTTGGTCGTGGAGCTGTGTACCGTCCACACTCCAATGAGATGAAGCCCTAGAGGACTGCTCTCTCTTCCTGGTTCTGTCGCCACAAGTACTCTGACGATGAAGAGAGGACTGGCCTCAGACTCTGAAAAGGTATTCATGCTCAATACACATGTATTAATAGATTGATATTAAGTTTAATATAGAAAGAAATTATAAGAGGAATTAAGATGAAAGAAAATACATCTCCATAGGTACTATGAGCTGTCCCCTCCTAGAACTGACCCTGAGTGGGCCAAAGAGGTGAAACAGCCGTGAAAACAGGCTCTATTCACTGACTTTCCCTGGAAAAACAGGCACGAAGGCTTGCCTTTCAAATTTATGCAATAAAATAAATTATAAGGGTGTTTTCCTCCAGCTTTGACAGAATAGTAGGTAAAACTCTCTTTCGATTTCATTTTCAAGACCCATAACCAATATGAAATTATATAAATCTTACATTTTAAACAAGAATTTCGTTCACTTTGCTTGATGTGAAGGAAGCCAGGATGAGCACCAGCCCACCATCTGATACATTTTGCAAAGGAGGTTTGCACTTTACAAATCACTAGCGTGTTGTTTTCCTTCTCTGCCCATGAGAGGTGCAGAACTCTGGAGATGCTGTGGCTGTACCTCCTAATGGGTCATGTGTCTTTCATAACCATCCCCTCTAGGCACAGCAAATAGATCCAGTTTATGTACTCCCCTGAAATTGCACGCTCATTACAGGGTGGTGTGAGAGAGAAGCACTGAGAAAGAATTTAATCTTGTAAAAGACAAATAGCGCTGAAACAATCATTTTCATTCTTTCTTGTTGTTGAAGATTTTAGTTGAACACAAAGCCCTTGTAGATAAGAAAGCAGAGCGAGAGTCAGCGGATGTCAGTGGGTGTCACCTGCCATTTCCTGAGGATCCTCTTTTTTATGTGTTCATATAGGCTTCTAACGTTTCTGATAAGTCTCACTGACTCAGCTCCACGAAGCAAAGTACTTGGGGAGTGCAAGCTGATCACGAAGGATCCGAGTCCTCAGCTTTGGCCATTATAGTTGAGACCAAACTTCACAGGCAAGAAAGGAAGAGATCAGTGACTACATCCTAAGAGACCAAGAGGGTTAATTAAAATGGTATGTGAAAAGTATTGCCCCAAATGCTGCTTTGGGGTATAAGAAATGTCTGTAATAACAAGGACTGAAAGCCCGTGGCTTAGTCTGGAGATCAGCGCACACACCAAAACACCAGGAAACTGCCCAGCAACCAAGAGGATGTCAGTGTGGAAGGGATATGGTGTCCAGACATCATTAGGGGGGGTGATCAGAGTGGGTCTGAAGGATGCTGGAGGTCACAGCCCAAGGCTGAGACTCAGGTTCCGATCCTGGCTCTGAATGGTGTGAGGTCCCAGCATAGACCCAAGCAGACTCAAACATAGGCACAAGAAGGCCTCTGGACCAGACTTTTTCTTTTAGGCCACCAACCAGCTCCCAGATCATGACATGGAGACTTATAGTTCTGAATGCTTAGCCTAGCTTAGGCTCATCTCTGGCTAGTTCTTTTAAATTAACCTCTTTCTCTTTATCTACCTCTTTATCTATCTGTCTCAGGGCTTCCTTTCTTACTTCTGCTTCTCTGTGTCTGTCTAGTATCTATTTGGTTTCTCTCTCATTCTTCTTCCTTCCTTTCTTCCTTGAGCCTAGATTTCTCCTCCTATTTATTCTCTGCCTACCAGCCTCGCCTATCCTTTCTCTGCCTAGCTATTGGCTATTCAGTTTTTTTTTTATGAGACCAATCAGATGCCTTTAATAGGCAAGATGAAAAAGATGCAACATCTTTACATACTTCAACACACATCCTTACATCATTAAACAACCACAGCATAGACAAGAGTAACACTTTTCCACAGTTAGACGAATACTCTGCAGCGTGAACAGATGTAACACATCTCTGCCCAGTTTATATTCTACGGCAGGCCTCTCTCTTTCTGCTTACCCAAATGGGGGTGGCGACCTTGAAATATTGAGTAAAGTCTCGCTGACAAACCCATCCCCATCTTTTATTACCACTAGGATGTAACTGGATGTTTCTCTCCCATCCACCAGTCCCAAATAACCACTCTGAGGTTTAATATGAATTACAAACTGTTTGGCCTATTAGCTCAACCCATTTCTATTAGTCTATATTTTACCCTGAGGCTCATGGCTAGTTACTCCACATCTTGCTTCTGCAGCAGCTGGAGTCCCCTGGCTTTCCCACTTAGCTATATTCTGCCCTGTCATAGGCCAAATCAGCTTTATTCATCAACCAATAAAAGCAACACCTATTCCTAGTGTACAGAAGGGCAACCCACATCAATGGGACTCCAGACAAAGCAGAAGAGCAGGCTAGGGAGCCTCTATGAGTGTTCTTCCTGAGGGTGAGCCAGTGGTTCTAGACAGCAATGACTCTACTCCCTGTGTGTCCCTTTTCTGAGCTGCCACAATGCTGACCACTATCTGAGGAACCTTTCCCTCCACTGGTGACCAGACTCTCTGGGACTTTTCCTCCTCTAGGATGCCCCCAGGAAGGGCAAGGCCCTCTTGCTCCCCCTGCCTGTATCTCACTGTCAGAACTGTGGCTTCAGGTCATCACAGTCTCCCTTGCTGTGGCTGGAGCACTGTGAGGAGAAACCCTGGCATCTCACCTATTTTTGACAGAGAATATCCAGTATCCAGCGGTGATTTTAGAGTGCAGGCCCTCACAACTCTCCTAGTTCTTACTATGATGCTCTGGGGTGAAGGGCAGGGGTCATTGTTGTGACTTACAAATGTGCATGTGGATCAGGTTCACTGACTGGAATAACAGTGTTTGAGAGCCGAGCCAGAGCCCAAGCTTCCAGACCTCAGCCTGAAGACCTAGTGTCCAGACCTTCTTCTTCTCCGTTATGATTCCCCGATGGATAGACACTGACAGATGCACAGACGACGGAAGGATGACACACAACAGACAGAAACTTGGGTCCTCAGGTACGTGGGGCTCTGGTGTCATAGAGCACGTGATAAAGTCAATGAGGAGAAAGCTAGTGGCCAGATAGACACCCAAAAGTGCGAAAGGTGCATTTTCTACCATTTTTTCCCATCTAACTTTGGGTTTAAAGTTACATCTGAACAAGAGGTTTAAAACTTGCCATCTTTACTCCAGCTAGTGCTGTTACCTGCTGGTGACTTTCTACTCTTCACTAGACTTGCCTGTCGAGAGCAAGCCGCAGGTGAGCAGTGTTCCCACAGGCCTGGTGTACAGTGGTTCACAACGTGACATCCGAGGGTCTGGGAAGAAGTTCTGGCGCCAATGGGCAGACCCACTTTTGTCTTGGTGAAGTTCCTGCTTTCTGTTCAGCCCGGCCTTGAACTCTTCAGGGGAAACCACACCAGAGTTTCCTTCTTTCTCTTCACTCACAGGGAAGCATCCCTACCATGGGCCGTCCAGCTGTGTGCTGGAGTTCCTCCTTGAGCTTCATGCAGACTTCTCATTTTCATAGGGAGTCAGTGTGCCTCCTCGGCGCTCAGGCTCCCTTATCTGAGGTTGGGCGATGTCCTTCGTGCCTTGGATACGTGCTTACCTGAGTCTCCAGTCCTCCAAAGGCGTGGGCAAGGCAGCCCACAGGGGGTCGCAGAGAGGGAAGGCAGTGTAGCAAGGCTAGCAAGGGGAGCCCGGCAGAAAGGGGCGCGAGAGAGCAGGGTAGACACGGGGAGTACCCGGGTCAGGAGGGGTTTGGGGTGAGGCTCAGGGCCCAGCACTGCAGGGAGGAGCGCGGGTGGAAGGAGGAATGCTTGGACGGAGACCTGGTGGCTGAGTGCCAGGGAGAGGCTCTGCCTAAATGAGAAGGGGCGCGAGGCGGGGACTGGGCTGAGGGGCGGGGCTGGGACTTGCTGCCTGGAAGGCGGAGAGGGCGTTAGGCGCGGGACTGAGGAAATCTGCACTGGGAGGCCCCGAGGTGGGGCCGTGACTTCTGAGGGCGCTCACCACCGAGGCCGAGCGCTGAGCCCAAGATGAGGGCGTCGGTGCTGCTGACCTGCTTCTGCTGGCTGCTGGTGCCGGTGAGTGAACCCGCGTCCCTTCCCGAAGAGGTGCGTCCAGCAGTGGACCGCTGGACTCACCTCCCGAGTCCCAGTACGAGTGGGTGGAGCGGGGACTGGATCCAGAGCAGAATGCACCGGACCCCAGGCGCCCTACTGAAGCCTTACCTAAACCTTGGCTTGCTGGACTCATTGGCACTTTTCCTATTCCCACCGCCGTCACGGGTTCGCCAGAAGTGGGGGCCCAGGTTCTCCTCAACTCCCGGGGACGATCTGGATTCTGGTCTTACTGTGCTCTTGGAGTTGGGGACATCCCTAGCACCCTGCAAGAAGAGTGGCCGCTTCCCCGGGCCACCTGCTCTGGCTTCGCTTCTGAGGGAAACTGTAGTTGCTCTGTGGTTAAATATTTCTCTTTCCATCTCCTGGTCCTTGTGTTTGTTTAGTATGTGACAAAGGGAACGTGGTATGACTAAGAAAGTTTCCTTTTGGAAATACTCTTTTTGTTTTCTCTAAGGAAGCCAGAGGAACCCCTGAACTGAGGTTTGCTACATGGGTAACACTGGTTTTATGTAGTTCTCCAGAACTCTACCCTTTATTTGAAAAAAAATATATAAGAAAGAGAAAAACGGGTGTGAACCTTATTCCTTGTTTTTCCTTCCCTGCACTGAGAACTGTGTCCCTATGAAAGGTATCCACACTTGGGCCTCCAGGCTGAGGGAGCCGACTAAGCATGTGCAGCAAGAGGGGAGGGATTGTTCAAGGAAATCCGTCTGTCATTGTTGATGAAAATTCAATTTTCTGGAGTGCATCTTCTCCACTCCCACAGACAGCTGAGGGTAGCTCCTTGAGGATGGTGGGGAAGCCTTGAGACTCCATCCACTCTAATCTCTCAGATGCCCCACGTTTTTCATGTTCTCTCTGCTCCAGGAATAGCAGGGATTGGGGTGCTTTTAGTACCTTAATTGATCATTTCATCAGTTCTGAAATTTAGATCCATGCGTTGCTGTTGCTTGGCTTCGGGGATCTCTATTTTCTGGTGGTTTTGTAGTAATGAGTTGGTTAAGACTAAGGCATCTCAGGTGGTCTTTACATAAAGTGAATGAATGTGGCAGAAAAACCCTACATTGCGTTTCATCCTTTGAGTCTGTGGGGAAATGGTATTCCTTGTTGAAATCCTAGCTTGTCTATATCAACAATAGTATAACTAAACGCCGATAGCCATACCCAGCTGAGGATGGTTTCTTTTCATTACTGTCTTATAAAAACAAGATTTTGTGAAGATGGAGAAACTGAGACATAGAGAGACAAACTAAAAGACCAAGTTCTGAGAGCAAGTGCTCCCTAAGCATCCCAGCTTAGGACACAGATGAGAGAAGCCTGTCTTCTGGGCTGAGAGCTCGTAATTCTCTCTTTACCCTCTTGTTGGTGGACAGCCTTGGAGTCTGCTTCTTCCATGTCTAAGGACCCTGGGAAAGCTTTACCAGAAACCTCCATGGCTCCTGGGATTGAATGAGTTTCTCGCAGCTCCACCTCTTTCTTCTAATCCCTTTCATTTTTAAAAGTAGATGCTTCACACCAAACCACAGTGATAACAAGGTCATCTTTACTCATAGGTTAAGTTTCCAATGTGTCCTGGAGCATGTGAAAATTCACTTAGGCTATTCTGACTATAGGGTGATCAAAGAGGGGCTCCTCGGGTGCACAGAGCAACTGTGCACCCACAGTCACTAAGAGTAAACTTGCTGTACTTCAGCAAACCACAGGCTGGGAAACGGGGGCTCTTCAGTTCTGAGAGAGTATGAATTTCTACAGCCCAATTGCTCTTAAATTAGTAGTAACAACATATACTGTAGAATGCCAATTTGTTGTTTTCCTACTCAGGAAAAGTATTCATATATATATATATATATATTTCAGAATTTTAGGTTTGTTTTTCAAAGTAAATAGTAAAGCTTTTTTTTAAAAAAAAAAAAAAAAAGAACCACACCGGGAAAATGAAAATGGCTACTTTAAAATGAATGCCAGCTCGAAAGAAATTTAGAACTGTGAGGTTTGGGGTCTTCTTGTAGATTTCTGCTTAACCCCTCTTGTATAATTTTTGATTATTCTATTTCTTTAACTTGAACAGGTGAGCAGCATCCATCCAGAATGTCGCTTTCATCTGGAAATACAGGAAGAAGAAACAAAATGTGTAGAGCTCCTGAACAGCCAGACAGAAAAGCAAAGAGGTGGGTTTCAGGAATAAGTCTGGGCTGCAGGCGGAAGATCCAGCTGTCTGTACTTCCCAGCATCCTCCCTAACTGGGAGGTTGGAGCTTACCTACACCTCAGAGACAGGTACACTTGCCACTGTTCTGGTGAGCCACAAGCAAAATTCCTGCAGCATTGTGTCAGTGTGGATTTCACCAAACCTTTTGAAAGAAAACCTCAGTTCTTAATACCAACAGTTTTTGTGGCTTGATGAGGCAGCAGTTACTATCGTAATGTTACAGCTCTGTCATGCTCCTCAAAGGCAGCTTTGGTTCCCAGGGAATCACAGCACATATCTGAATTCTTGGTTTTAAAATATTAATTATCCTTAATGTTGGTTCAACTGAGAATGATAGAAACTTGTCAGGAGCCAACAGGAAAATGGGATGTCAGATTTCTGAAGACACACCTGTTTTAAACACTGTGTGTTTGTCAAGTTTGTCCTCTGAGTGGAACAGAAAGTTTCTGGGACACCAGGCCTTTGATGTACACCCATTCCATGTTCACAGTCCAAAGTGGCTCTGGGTACAGCCCAGGTATCAGCACCACAACCTTTCGTCCTGGATCTCTCTACTCTAGAATCACCTGTACAACCTCTTCAAGAAAGAAATTTAAATCAAGGTGAGATTGTTACAGTAGCCCGGTGTTTGCTAGCAGGCCTAGTTCCTGGACTCCACTCTGAACCTCTTACTATGTTACAAAACACGGTTACAGTTATGTAACTAATGTGAAATTTCAATAAGTCCTTAAAAAGTGAGGGTAATTTTAATAGTGTATTTTATATTCATCTAAATGTATCATTTGATTTTAAATAATTAGATATTTTAGCTTCTACATTCTTTCTTTAAGTATTATAACATAGTGCATTTTTTAATGTTATTAGCACCTCATCTTTTCACTGGGGCACTTTTCAAACCAGTGACTCCCACACTAGTCAGAAAGACAAAAAATATCCACCTTTCCCCTGCCTACCTTAGACCCCTGTTACCTCACTTGAAAGTTAAGGCTCTGGACTTCCTTTAAAGACCTGTAATTTACAGCACACATGTGGTTCTGAAGGCCACATCCCCAAAATTATCCAGTTGACCTCAGTCCATAGATGCAAATATAGACAAATATACAGTCAGTTCCACTGCCCCCAGGAAGGGCTAGCACTAAGGAACTGACTTTAGGTGAGACAAAGGGGTCAGCTTTGTGGCCACTGAGGCTGGCTCTGTTCAGTACAAATTCAGAGTTCAGGAAAATAGTCCTATGGCAAAGCTCACACTCACACACATACACACACACACACACACACACACACACACACATGCAAAACAGCAACAATGATAACAAGAAGAAGAAGAAGAAGAAGAAGAAGAAGAAGAAGAAGAAGAAGAAGAAGAGGAGGAGGAGGAGGAGGAGGAGGAGGAGAAGAGGAGGAGGAGAAGGAGGAGGAGGAGGAGGAGGAGGAGGAGGAGGAGGAGGAGAAGAAGAAGAAGAAGAAGAAGAAGAAGAAGAAGAAGAAGAAGAAGAAGAAGAAGAAGACGAGGGAGATAAGATCAGATCTGAAGCTGGTAAGATAGACGAGTAGTTAAGAGCACTTTCTGTGTTCCCACCATCCATGGCACCACAAACATTGGTAACTCCAGTTCCAAGGGATCCAGTGTCCTCTTTGGAACTTCATAGGTTTCTGCATACATGCAGGCAAACACTAATACACGTAAAATAGAAACCAATCTTTTTTAAAAGAGTAAAATTAAAATAAGACTTTCATGGGAGCTGGGCAGACCTCTGTGGCTGGAGATGACATGAGATGTTGGAACTCCTAGACTGGACAGCCCCTGAGACAAGCTTCCTGGGTTGTCCCCAGAGGGCAACCTGTATGAACAGCCTAGCTGGAGTCTGTGAAAACTGCTCGGCTTTCCTTGGTGCTTGGCTGGCATGACCAGGGAGAACAAGTCTGTAGGATTCCTCCCTTGTTTGGTGTATAGAAAAACGTCAAGGGTTTTCTTGCAAAAACAGATGCCTACTTGGACATTTTATATTGAGGGCTTCTATTTTCATTATTAGCTTACAGAAAAAATATCTGTGTATCTGATTTATCCACCTTTCTATTTTGCAAAACCTTCTTGGTCATTGGCCAGCCACCTGCAGGAAAGCAGAGCTGACCGTCAGCCCAGCCACTCTGCAGCTTTCAGAAGAGACAGCCTGCGTCCCCAGTTCTGTGTCTACTCTCTGAAATATGCAGGGTTTCAATGCCAAGAATATAAATAGCAGTAGGTTACCAGGATGAAGATGCTGTGGGCAATGGGAGCCAGAGGCTGTGTGGAGCCAGAGCTGAGGGGGCACTTCTGGTGGGATGAGGCCTCAGGATGTAGCCTCATGAAGTCAGAAGTGACACTGCTAAGTTCCTCACATCTGTGAGAGCTGCTTTCATACTCCGTAGCAGTGTGGCATTGGTATAAAAGAACATCAGGAGTTAGGAATAAAGCACTTCAATGCTAGCAAAATAATTTCCCACAGTCCTGAAACGGCACTCTTCCATTTTACTATATGATGAATAAGAAAACAGAACAAAAGGGTGTAACAAATCCCTACGAAACTTGTCCATCCTAAAACAGATTGTACTGAGGATTCGGAAAGCTGTGGGGTTATTTGGAGTTCTATATTCCAATTTTGATTAATTGCTAAGACAAATTTAATCTTGACAGTATGTGGATATGGGGCCTAAGTTCACGGATGGTTGAGAATGGAGGAATGTCCTCCAGGAAGTCAGTATAAGAACCCACATCACCTCATATCTACATCTGTGGTCATCTAGGGCTTAACAGAACAAAAGTTAGACTACATGCCTTGGGAACCCCATTCTTGCAATTTTTAGGTGATGTTCGCCAAAGAAATTGTGATGGTTACAGTCAGCTTAGAACCAGGTCAAGGAAGGTGCTGTGCAGTGGGCCTTGGTTTGTTTTAAACATGGAGTATTGGACTTGTGGGAGGAACTGTGTGGGTCTTGAGATTATTTCCTGTTGGCAAGCTGACTGACAGTAGCCAGCCACAGCTTCATGATAATAGCAGATGTCGGGCCAGCGACAGATGTTTCTGCTCCTCCCACAGTGTACAAGGGTTCCTACATGCCTCTGAAGCCTCTCAGAGCCAAGGCCTATGCATCTGGGTCATAGCCCCACCCTAGGAATCCCCAGCATCCACAGTCGGTCATTAAATCCCAGACAGTTGAGCATCCAAAGGGACAGTGTTTTATTTATTTATTTTTATTTTTATTTTTTTTTTTTTTTGGTTTTTCGAGACAGGGTTTCTCTGTGGTTTTGGAGCCTGTCCTAGAACTAGCTCTTGTAGACCAGGCTGGTCTCGAACTCACAGAGATCCGCCTGCCTCTGCCTCCCGAGTGCTGGGATTAAAGGCGTGCACCACCACCGCCCAGCAGGGACAGTGTTTTAATTGCCACTCTGCTCAGAGAAATACATTCTCTGGTGCCCAATGCTGTTTGTGTCTGACATCCTCAGAAAGAAGTGGACATGAGCAGGCAGTGTCTCCTCAGAAGGTGCCCATGGAGGGGCTAAGCAGCTCACACAGGAGAACCCTCAACAAATTGAGACACCTTTTTATTATCCAGGCATGGTGTGTGATGACCACAGGACTGATCATTAGTCCTTCTACCCTATTGTTCTTTAGAGAGAAAGAGAGCCTATCTGTGTCCTGGTATATCCACCAAATTTTACACCGTGCCTTTAAAAATATTTCAACTAGCTTTTGCTGAAGGAATCGGTGAACATTTTTACAATAGAAATGAGTGTTAGCAACTAATGACTATGTACACAGAATGGTACTGTTAAAGTGTGTACATGTTAAAATATGAGAAGCGTGTCCATACCCATTCTCCCTTGCCCCGTGAGACTGACAGTGCCTGTGCACAGTGCCCTCGAAAGCCAGCCGTGCTTGCTTTGCTCTGCGTTTTGATCTTCTCTCTCTCTTTTAGTCTGGACACTGTGTCGGCTTCACATTCGCCTTCAAATTTATAGAATATCTAGTGTGTTACTTTTGTCCTTTCTATTGACTGAACTTTTTGAAGAATGACAAAGTTTTGCTATTAGAAATGGTACCCTGATGTTCTTAGGAATAAAACATCTCACTGCATTTGACTAACCTCAGCTCACTAATCTCATGACCCAGTAAATAGCAAGGCCCACCGATGTGGTGCAGCTCTTCTTGGTCAGTGAGGATTGAACCATGAGGAGAAAACTTGAACCAAGAGGAAAACCAAACTGTGCAGTTCGACCAGGTGCTGAGGTCCAGGAAGGGCATGTCACAAGTCTATCACAGTGGATAGGGACTGCAGGGCCCCAGTGATGCTGTTCAGAAGGGGGCAGGGGGTGCCCACTCCTATGGTACCTGAGACTTTCTCTGCTTGGTCATAGAGGAGGGGTCCTGGGCTTGCTGCCAGAAGCCCAAGACATCTGGGTAAGGACAGTGAGTTCAGGAAGAAGGGTTTTCTAGGCCCTAGACATCTCCTGCCTCTGTACCCATTGGTTGTTAGAGACAGAGCAGCATTTTCTAGAAGGACATTGCCTCATTCTTCAGTGTCTGCTCAAAGACAGGAGTGCCACTTGACCTCCAAGTCCATTCCCTCCCAGACTCGAAGTCCTGTTTGGTTCCTTCACCTGTGTATTCAGCCAAAGCTGCCTCTCAGATGAGGATTTCTGCCAGGTCACTACCCCCTGCTGCTGAAGTTAGTGTTTTCTTTTCCTGGACTATGTTGGCTTCTGAGGTTCCAGGCAGTGCCCTGTGTTTTTCTCTCTAAGGTCTAGATCTGGCTTACTTTTCCATGTTGCTTCTTCCATTATGCCCCTTACATAAACCTCTTTCCAACGTCTCTGGGCCTGCATTAAGACTCCTGGGCAGGGGAGTAGCTGGGGCTTTTCTAGGTGAGAGGTGTCACTAGAGAGACACCACATGGGATGACACAGACAATCCCCACAGTC